CCTATCAGTCTTATGTTATTCTGCTTTGCATCATCTAGGAGTTGTTGGATCGATTTCTCATGATCCCTTACTGTTTTTGAGAGACCTCTCTTTTCACAGTCACTGTCTGCGATCCTATCTTCTATATCTGAGATTCTATCTTTGCAATCTTTTATTCTGTTGCATGTACTTTCAATAGAGTTTTTAATCTCCTGGATATCTGTTTGAATCTGTTGAATGGATTCCATTTCTTTCTTATGTTGGGTGTTCATTGTTTCCATTTCTTTCTTATTCTGGGCCTTCATGGTTTCTATTATGTTCCTCAGCTCATCTAATTTTTACCCGTTTCTGTTGTGGAGTCTCAAATCATATCTTTCATTTTGCTCACCATCTCTATGGTTATCTGGGAAATTATTTGTTTTGAATTTTTCTAGAGCTTGATTTATCAGTTTTGTTACTTCCTGTGCTGTGAGTTCTGAGTGTCCTGGAGGTTCACTATCAGACTTTTCATCCTATTTTGCCCTACTGTTTGCCATTGGTGGACTGGAAGTCTGTCTTTGTGTCTTGTTTAAGTGTTTTCTCATCTTTATTTTTGCTGTTGGGTTGCCCTTGATTCAATCTCTGGGTCATTAAATCTTCCGGATACCCATGCGTCCCAGCCTTTGATTCTCTAATGACTTAAATACATTCTCATTTTCATAATTGAGAAAACAACTCAACAATTCAATCCCTATCCTTTATCCCAATTGATACAATCAGGAATACAATAGGATCAATCACCACCCTTTATAGCAAGCCATGCCTCTGCAGAGTGTGTCCAAGGACTGCACAATCAGGGGATCTGGGGGGCGGTGCTCAGCAGTGCCCTCGCAGCTACCCTCCTGGCACTGGGTCCAGGCAATCAGTGGTGCCCACAGGGAAGGGCGTGACTATGGGATCAGACCAGCCTCGCAGCAGAGGGGAATCTGAAGTCCAAGTCAGCATGCTCTCCTACTTTCTTCTTTTTGCTCAAGATACTCTGGCACTTTGCATTTTGGAGTTCAATATTAATTTTATGATTGTTTTTACTAGTTTTGTAAAAATGCCATTGGAATTTTGACAGAAATTGCTTTGAATCTATAAATTGCTTTGCATAGTTTGGACATTTTAATGATACTGATTTTTTTTTAATGTCTCCATTTTCTTTATTTCTGCTCTTAACTCTATTTTTTTCTTCTACTAATTTTGAGTTTAATTTTTATTTTCTAAATCCTTGAGATGCAGCAATAACTTGTTTATTTTATATCATTCTTCTTTTTTAATGGGAGTGTTGATGGCTATTAGCTCTCTTCTTAGCATTGCTTTTTTGGTATCCCACAGGTTTTTGTATCTTTTTCCATTTTCATTCATTTCAATGTTTTAAAAAATTTTTTCTTCCTTGATTCATTGTTTGTTCAAAGATAAATTGTTGTATTTGTATAGTATCCAAAGTTTTTATTATGATTTCTAGCTTTATTGCATTGTTGTCAGAAGATACTTGACATGATTTAACTTTTTAAAAATTTGTTGAGACTTATTTTGTAGCCTGTCACATGGTCTATCCTAGAGAATGTTACATGTGATGAGAAAGGTGTGTATTCTGCATCTATCAAATGGAATACGGAATAGTCATAAATGTTTGTTAGGTGCATTTGGTCTAGGCTGCTACTGTAATATTTTTTTGTAGATTTTCTGTCTGGATGATCTTTGCATTGATGCAAGTGGGGTGTTAAAGTCCTCAACTATTACTGTATTGGAGTCTGTCTCTCCTTTAGGTCTACTTGCTTTACATATTTAAGCATTCCAATATTGGGTGTGTATCCTCACCAGAATCACCTGTTCAGCTCTACTTGAAGGTTTCTAGGCTTTTTGTAGCTTGCTTCTCCAAACTTTTCCATTTCTCCTAAACCAGTTCCACAGGCTTTTCCACATGGTCAAGTGTAATCATAACAGTAACCCCTTTTCTCTGAACCTAATTCCTATGTTAAGTTTCTGTTAATGTAACAAATCCCTGAAGTGATCAACTTTATAAAGAAAAAAGGGTTTATATTTGTGCTTAGTTTCAGAGGATTTAGTCCATGATCAGCCAAACATATTGCTTTTAGGCCTCCAATGTGGAGCAGCAAATCTGGAGAGGAGTTCTTCATAGAAAAAAAAAAATGTCACTGTGTGGCCAGGATGCAAAAAAGAGAGGAACAAGAGAAGCTAGAGTCTCACTCCCCACTTGATGACTGTAAGACCGTCCATTAGGCCTTGCCTCTTAAGTATTCCATCATCTCCAATACAGCCACTCTGGGAAGCGAGCAGGCCTTTAACACATGGACCTTTGACAGACATTCCACATCCAAATTATAGTGTGTCCAAACTATACATGTATATAATTTGTGACAAGTGAGTGGCAAGTTGAGAATGTTGGAGAGGAGAGGAGAATATCATGATGGGACCCATCTGCAGGTTTGTGCAATAAGGTTTTTTTCCTGAGTACCTAAAGTTTTTTTTTTTTTTTTACAGAAAGATGTTTAATCTTGAGAACAATATGATTAGATTTCTCTGTTAGAAATTAAAGGTTAGAAATATTGCTCAGTTTAATTAGAAAGTTTAAATTTATAAAACTTGTTTAAAGGATAGAAGACAAGGATAGAAATTATGAAAACTTGTGACCTATGATCAGAAATTTTTCATATCGTTTCAATTGAACATTCATTACATATTTATAAAGCTTTTCCCTATATAATCACCTTTAAGAAAAACAAGATTGCACAAATCTCTTATTAACTATTATTAGAAGTCTTTAGATTTCTTACTATTTAGGGATCTCTTACTCACTTATTTTCAACTAAGACATAAAAAATTAACTTGCCAGCCCTGGAGTCAGTTTATTTTGTCATGATCATGTTCCTGGACCTCCAGTTTATCAGGGCTTCAATTAACTTCTCAACAGCTAACCTTTCTAGGGACACCCCAAATATGTCTTTATTTATATTCTGTGCATTCTTGATTTCCTGCAGATTACTTTATTCTTGGGGACAAGTTTTAAAAAACCAAACAAACCAGCTTCTTTCACTTTCATCATTTTCTCTTCATACCACTCATAAATACATCCACCTACTCCACATATTTTTTAATCACTAAACTCATACTCCCTCTAGTGGTCATTTAGTAAATCTTTAATAATTATTAACTTCTTTAATTAATGGCATACCTTTAGTCTTTTAAGTCATCTTTTTTCTAATGTATTAAAATTGTTTTATCTGGTAAAATTATCATAACCAAGGGTTAAAAATTTAACATATATACAGTTCAAAATCAAGCATAATATATTGTTTAGGAGTACGTGTAGATGGAATAAAGCAAGAGAAAAAAAAATTTCTTCAGTTTTGAGGCTGGCAGTGGAGGTGGACATAGGTAGATGCAGTAGGAAGACAAAATAGTGAAGAACTTCATGTAACCATTGATAATTATTTTCCCACCACTGTGTCCACCCCAAACTATTTTAAAGCAATTCTCAGACATAATGCCATTTCTTATATTAATATTTACATATCTCTAAGAAGTACATTTTTATTTTTACTTATGTACCATTCTGTTATCACATCCAACATAATAATAATTGGTCTATACACATTTTCTTGAGAGTCTCAAAATGTTGTCTTTGTTTTGTTTTATTTTTTGGGACAAGCTTGCACTATGCAATTCAGGCAGTCCTTGAACTCACTTGTATCCCAGACTGGCCTTCAACTCACATGACATCCTCCTGCCTCATCCTCTTGAGTGCTGGGATTACAGGCATGTGCTACTACACCTGGCAAAAATGTCTTTTTAAGACATTTGTCTTTAAAACATCCTAATTAGAATCCAAAGACAATTCCTGAATTGTATTTGGGATTTGTATTTCTTGTCTCTTTTATTTTATGAATGCCCTTTCTCTTTTTTAAGCCTATTGATTTATTGAGTTAAACTGGATTAGAATAACTTTTATCTAGCCTTATTTAACTTGTTCTTTGTATTCTCCATATTTCCTATAACTGATAGTTACAGATTTCTTTTTTTACTACACTTGATCTTAGCCAAAGGCTGAGAAGCGATTACAGATTCTTTTTATTAGTACATGTATGTGGTACACAGTGTTTACATTTCTTGTGTGGAGTAGGTTCAGAACACATCTTAATGACATTTTTTCATCTCTTTCCCTTCCCTCCTCACTGTCCCCTCTCCCTGATCCCCTTCCTTATTATTATATTTTTTTGGTATATACTTATAGTACAAAATGTTTACATTCCTGGTATTCCTTGTAGTTACAGATCTAAAGGCTTAATGAGCATTAGATTCTGTGGGGTTTGATGAGAATTAGATTCTTTGAAGTTTTTGTTTTGCAAAAGTACTCCATGGATGATTCTGTGTACTTTCTTTTATATCCTAAAGCGTGTGATGTGTGGTTTTCTCACTTTAAATGAAGCTCAAATTAATCAGTGGGTTTAGTTAACCGGTGTTTCTTGTTAACATTAACTTTTTCTGAATTTTCATAGGGAGGTACCATTTTAAGAAAATGACATGTATTTAAAATTTGTGAAGCAGTAAGGAAGGAGAGGAAGTATAGGAAATGTGATTTAAATGTCCATTTCCTTATCTGTAGGAGGATATATTAATTGTATTAGATTGAATCCCAGTGCCCATTATAAACCGATGAAACAGATCTACTGTTTCAGGCTAAGTATCACCTCCTTTTCCTCAATAATAGCTGCTTCAGGTGTTCACCTTTTTCTTTTCTTAACACCACTTCTGTATTTATTTTTTAACCATGTTCCTTGGTTACAAGGTAGTAAAATTAACTACTTTATAAGTGATGTATAAGTTGAATTAAGAGCACTGAATCCTAACCACTAGACCACCAGGGAGTGTCCATATAAGATGAATTGTGAAATACAGTACCAGAAGAACTCAAACCCAGCCCACCTGAATGTCTATGATAAATTTCAAGTGATGTTAATTAACTTTTTAAACAGGGTTCAACTACACCAGTAACCGTTTTCAAAGGTTCAAAGAAACCTTACTTAAAAGAATGCATTTTGATTATTAACCATGATACTGGAGAATGTCGACTAGAAAAACTAAGCAGCAACATCACTGTGAAAAAAACAAGGTAGGTGGTTCAGGAAGAAATTATTTTATCGACCTATGAATTTCTAAGGAAATGTCAGGAAAGAAATTATTAAAGTCTGGTTATTATGTAAGGTTATTTCTCTCAGTTAAAAAATCTTTTAATCTTTCATTTTAAATTTGTTGAAGATCTTTAGTCAGATTTTACCACATTGCTTGCTGTATGATATATGATACCTTGTATTGTTTCTGAATGCTTTCCATATATGTAGGCATATGTGGTAGATCTTTTCACAGAATTGGACTGAAAGGAGCTGTTTATGTGCTCCAAAATAATTTCATCCTTGCTAGTAAAAATGTATTTTGCTCCTAGATTATGTAAGGCACTATAAAAATGAGTTTGTTATGTAGATGGTAAATTCAAGACTTCTACGTTTTAATCAGATTAACAGACCAATGAGCAAGAGAGTAGTATCATCTCATGTCCTTTTTGGAAGTAGGTGATGAGTTATTTACCGTGCAATGTAAGGGCACTTGAAGTGAGAGGTCATGATTGATTAGAACATTCAGGAAGCCTGAGTGATGATGTGTCTTGAGAAGGTGTTAATTAGGATCATGAAAAGTATTTTGCTTAAAAATAAGAATTTCCAAGACCAACCTCAGTTCACAGAAGGAGGCTGGAAAGATATTTGTTAATAGCCCTTTATCTCCCCTTCCCCCAGCTTCCTTGATTCTTATTATTAGTTTGGGCCCAGCATGGTGACACACACCTGTAAGCCTAGCACTCTGGGAGGCTGAGGCAGAAGGATCACAAGTTATGCCCATCAGGGGCAACTTAGGATTCAATAAGACCCTATGTCAAAATAAAATATAAAAAAGGCTGAGGCTGTAGCTCAGTAGTGTGAAGTCCTGGCACCAATTTCCAAGCACTAACACACAAAAATTAAAATCAACCAGAAAGGATACAAGGTTAAAGGATATAAGCAAGATTTGGATGCAGGAAAATAACCATTTTTTTCAAGGCTAGTGAATACTACCTCTTTGAACAGAGAAGAGCTTTTCTCTTTACTTGGGTGCAAGTACTGGAAAGTGGAGGATGATGTTAATAATGAGTTGGAGAGAAGGTTGTAAAGTAGGTCGAAGTTACTGGCTTCAGTATTAACTCAGCAAGTGAGATGTTTTCTTGCAGACAGTGGTTACATATTAAAAAGAATTTTAATCCAGGTATTGGCATATTTACAGCTGTATTTTGAAACACTGATCCAACAAAGAAACTAAATGAAACAATGTGGAAAACAGGAAAATGTGTAAACTGTGATTTTTGAGAGTGAGCATTAAAAGTGAGATGTTAAGGACCTGGGATTTAGCTCAGTGGTGCTGCCACCTGTTTCTCAAGAGCAAGGTCCAGAGTTCAATCCCCAGTACCAAAAGAAAAACAAAAGTGAGATGTTAAATACTTTGTGAAAGAAGAGTTGATAATATTTGGTGACTGGAAATGGTAGAGGCAGAGGTCAATCATAATTTTGTCATATATGCATATTGAAGGTGTTGAAATAAAAGTATGAATCTCATTTATTAGCATGTCTGTCTTAAAATTATGAATTGAATTTGAATTAAAGTCCTGAATGTGGAAGTGATTTAATTTTAGCAAAAATGATAAATTTAGAACTTAGAGAAAATATTTTATCAATTATCTACTTAGATGCACATACACTTTTCCTGTTATTTTAGTCATTGGTGAATGTGCTGTCTGTTCAAGTTGAGCAGTGGTTGTTTTCATTCCTATTTGTGTCCATCACCTGTTCTGTATGTATGCCATATATATAGCAGGTACTTGAAAGAAGCAAAACAAAGCAACACAAAAACTTGTTAAATGAAGTAGCATTTTAATTCTTGAATATCATTTTAATAATTTCTAAGGGAAATGGTCAAATTTAGTAAGTTTGTAAATTGAAATGTTACATTGCTGTCATACTTGTTTTGATTTTTGAGATTCTTAATTGCAGAGTTGAAGGAGGCAGTAAAATTCACCATCATGTAGAACAACAACATCAACAAATACAAAATTCAACTAGGACTCCCAGTTTTATAAAGCATTCTCCATCTGAAGATAAGATAGCCCCAACATCACTAATGGATGACATTGAAAGAGGTAAAATCTAAATGTATATAGCATCTTCTTTATAACTGATAAGAACTGTGAAATACAATTTTTCATTTTGGTTAATAGATTAACTATAAGCTTTTAATTAAAACATACATTTCTGTAATTATGCATTTTTCTGTGACAAGGATGTAGCTTGTGATTTAAAGTACCTTGTAAATAAGGCTGCGTCTATGTAAAAGAACATCTTTTCATTATTCTTGCAAAAATGTGACTGTGTAGTTGTATGTAATTGGAGTTTTCTACTTTTTTGCAGATGTGATTATTTATAATTCAATTTTCTATAGATTCTTCTTGTCACAACTTTATCTATAGTAAGACTGTAGATGTCTAAGATACCACCGGCAAAATGGGAAATGAGATATAGTAAGCAGAAGCTGCAGGCAAGTTTTTCTGAATTGCTACATACTTCGCAGCAGGAAGGCATTTCTAGGGATATACAATCTTTGTGAAAGTAAGAAAATTTAAATCTCCATTTTTATTAGCTAAAGTTGAGATGTTCATATTATAGTAATCATGGCAACATAAGACCCCAGTCATCAAAATATATTTGCCACTATATTTTGCCTTCATAATTAGCATGTAACCTGTCCAATTCCCCTTCTAGTACTAGTACAGTATTTGTTCTCTTATGGATTAGTAGTCCTATACAAAAAGAATTAATAAGGCTAGAACCCTTGTTATCAAAAGAGATCTTTTTTTCTTTTCTGGTACCAAGGATCAAACTTGGGTCCTTGTGCTTGCAAGGCAGGCGGTGGAACCACTGAGCTAAATCCCCAGCCTATTAAAAGAGATCTTAAATTCTGTTTTTATATTATGACTGCTTCCAAAATAGTTTTGAATCATGATGTTGATATAGGGGAAATAGGTGCAACTTCCAAACCTACATATCCAAAACGCAAGTTTGTGTTCTCTAAAATCAAGAATAAATTCTAGGAAAAACAAAGGTTAAGAGTAGGAAAAGTTTATTGAGAGAAAGATAGCTTCTGTCTAAGAGAGATAGAAGGGGGACTAGAAATGGGTTGCCTGCCCTCCTTGTTTTTCAGTGTTTTATATGGCAAGGCCATGAGGTGAGGTGGGTACAAAGTGGGACAAAACTGTAAGACCCAATGGAAAATTACAAGGTGGATATGAGGTGGGACAAAACCATGATCAACCGGTAAGATTACAGGTAATATTGATTAAATGGGAATCAAATGGAAAAACAAGTCACCTATAAAGGGTTTCCAGAAAGGGATTGGGCTAGAGAGATTGATGTCTATTTAGAATATCAATCGCTGCTATTCATCTCTAGGGGAAAGTAATACCTCTTTTCTTTTTATAATGCTAATCAGCAAATGTGCCTCAATTGTTTTTAGATGCTGAGGGCCCAGCTTTTTCTAACTGCCTTGTAATAATTTCTAACTAAACTATCTGCAATAATGTCATTCTATACATATATATGATGAAATACTGGAATAGGGAATCAAGAGATTGAAGAGGAATTTGAAACAAATTTGTTTATAAAAATTAGCTCTGAGCTTCCTGGCCATCAAGACAATAATGAAAACACAAATAGCATTTTATAATATCTAAGATGGTTTCAAAAAATCAGAATGTTCTTCCTGTTAAATCCTAAAAGGGATTAATCATGTGGAACCTATTCTAGAGAGCATTAAGCTACATATTATCTTGAACAATAATTTTATAGTGCAAGTAGAAGTTACCTCATGGCAATTTGGTCACATAAACCTTAATTAAAGCATTGTATTGAAGCAATGGAAAACAGTTGCAGAGGATAAGTTAATCTAATCATAAAATTTTCTTGTTCTAACTTTGTATGAAAATGGAGCATCCTATACTTTAATGTGTTTATATAGCATATTCCTTAGAATATAATCTACAAAATATTTTTTCACCCTTACTGTGCCACTAATTATTATTAAGATGGTTGAATCAACTTTTCAAATTTATATTAGCAGTTGTACTAGTATTTTTTATAACTTAATTTTTACATCATATGTTTAAGCTACCTGGAATTTAAATTTAAAGAATAAGATGGAGTCTTAGGAGAGTAGGGCTAAAAGAGACCTTAAAGAAGTAATGTCTGAAAACAGTTGATGAATGACTTAAACACAAAGATCAAGAAGCTGAACAATTCCTAACTAGGATAAACCCAAAGAAATTCATACATACCAAGAGACTTCATAATTAAATTTTGAAAACTGAAGGCAAAGGTAAAATGTGGAAGCAAGAGAGAAATGGCACATCATATTTCTCAGCTGAAACCCAGGAGATGAGAAGAAAGCAGCACAAAATATAGACTTATGAATAAAACCATTGCTACAAATAGGTACATTAATAATAATTAAAGGATTAATCTGTCTTGAAAACCAAAATTATACCAGCTGTAGTCTCTCATAATGGAATCAAACAAAAAAATATTATTAATAGGAAAAATGTCTAAGCTCTTGGTAATTAGCATACATCTAAATGATCCAAGGGTTAAAGAAGAATCAAAGTAAATTAGAAATGCATGTAACTACATATAAAACAAATATAGCATACAAAAATAAATGAGATGCACCTAAAGCTGTATTGAGGGGAAGGGAGTATATTTTTGGTACTAAATGTTCATATTAGAAAAGAAAATTCTGGGCTGGGGATTTAGCTTAGCGGTTTGGTGGCCTGCCTTGCAAGCACAAAGACCCAAGTTCGATCCCTGGTACCAAAAAAAAAAAGAAAAGAAAATTCCTATCTCAGGAAACTAAAAAAAGGAAGGCATATTAAACCCAAAAGAGAAGCAAGTAATAAAAATAAAAAGTAAGCAGAATGAAATTGAAAACAGTAGAATCAATGAAGTAAAAAGGCAGGTCATCAAAAAATTTATACTGTTGATAAACCTTTAGAAAGAAAAGAAAAAAAAATACAAACATTAGCATCAGGAATGTAATTATACTTCTATAACCAGGAGAGTAATGAGTTCACTACAGATTCAGAAGCCATTTAAAAAGTTAAAATGGAATGTTACTCATTAATTTGATAATTTAAAGGGACCAATTTCTCAAAAGCTAAGCATTGCCAAAACTTAACCAAAATGAAGTAGATAATCTGAATATGTCTATTAATATTACAGAAGTTGAATTAGTAATTAAATGCATGCAAAAAAAAGTAGCCAGGCCCAGATGGTTTCACTGGTGAAGTTTGCTGAGCATTTAAAGAGAATTAACACCAATTTCCAAAAAGTAGAAAAGAAGATGCTATGGTTGGGGTAAATATCCTCCGAAGGCCCATGTGTTAAAGGTTTGATGGCCCATGCTTCAGGACCAACACAAGGTCCTGAATTTGGTCCCCAGTACCAGAAAAACATTATGAAGTCTTGATCTCCTACCCATGGCACTGTTGAGAGGTGATGGGAACTCTGGGGGGAAGGCTAGTGGGAGGTCTTCGGTCATTGGTAGCATTTATCTAAAGTGGATATTGGGACACCAGCCCATCTCTCTTCCTTTCATTTCCCAATTATGAGGTGAAGATTTTGATCTGCTGTGTGTTTCCTGTTATTTCCTCCCAAAAGAGGCCTAAAAGCAATGATTCTTCCTGATCTTGGACTAAAATCTCTAAAAGCATGAGCCAAAGTAATTCATTTTATAAGCTCAAGTATGTGTTACATTAATGGAAAGGTAACACCAGAAAGAACATTGATAAGCTCATCTTATGAGACTTGTAGTACCCTGATATTAAAACCAAATAAACATAGTACAAGAAAAAGAAAACAATAGTCTAATATCTCTTAACTTTAACATTAAAAATTCTTGCCTCTAATTACCTTACTCTGGAAGCTGAAGCAAGAAAATCACAAGTTTGAGCCCTGTCTGCACAACTTAGTGACATAGAGAGGGAGAGACCTGTCTCAAAATTAACAACTTCAAAAAAATTTTAATTGTGAAGGACCCAAGTTTAATCTTCCATACCACACACGCACACACGCACACACACACCCCAAGGGAAATGTAGCAAATCTAATATTATATAAAAAGAATTATGGAACATGACCAAGAAAACATTCATCTTTTCATATTGCTTATATTTGAATAAGTGTGTGAATGGGAATGGGGGAAGACAAGTAATAAACAAGTAAGTAAATATCCAAGTGAATTTCAGAGATTGTCTTGAGGAAAATAAAACAGGTAATGGAGTTTGAAGGAAAAAAGCGCTGAGGAGGTTAAATTTTAATTTGAGAAATAACTAGGCTTTCAGAGATCTAGAATCTCATCAGAGGCACTGTTAATATAATAAAGCTAGCTACAGACTAGGAGGAACTCAGAGGAAAAATTCACAGTTCTGACAAAGACCTCATAACCAGAACTTACTATAAAGAATGCTTATAAATCAAGAAAAAAAATAGCCAAACATGAACATGAACAAGACTCAAATGAATATTTCACAAAAATAGCCAGAGCACATGAAAAATTGCTTCATATTATAACTTATCAGAGAAATGAAAATTAAAACTAATGAGACACCACTGCACATTCAAATGACTTTCTATATTAAGTATATGTGAAGGTGGGGGAAAATATAAATATCTGTAACTCTTATAAGTAGTAGGAGTGTAAAACCATTTTAAAAACTGGTAGTTTTTAATGAAATAAAATCTATTTTTATCTTGAAACTCAGTGATTTTTCTCTTTTCTTCCCAAAAGAAATGAAGGCATGTATTCACAAAATGATTCATAGGAGAAATTTTATAATAGTTTTATTTATAGTAGCTACAAAACTGGGAAAAAATAAATATCCATAAATGGAAAATGGATAACCAATTTGTGGTACAAGTTGAGCTACAAATTCATTCAATAACTGAATGAGTATCAAAGCCATTATGTTAGTAAAAGAAGCCAAACATTTAAAAGCACATGGCAGGGTTGCAATTTAGCTCAGTGGTTCTGCCACCTGCCTCACAAGTGCAAGGTCCTGAGTTTGATCCCCAGTACCAAATAAATAAATAAATA